CAGGTGAATCATTAATGCACAGAGAAGTGTGGCTGTGCCTGCCTTTTCTGATTTATATTGAATACTGTATGAAGGCATGGTAATTACCAGCCATTATTTTAGAAGTATATGAAAAATGAATTATTGAAATCTCTACCCAGTTGATCTTCATATTGTGTGTGCCCCAGAACTTTCTTTTGGATCTGCTCATGGTTGAAGAGACCATCATTCAGAGATCAATAGTTTTGATTATCTAGTAACATCTAGTAACATCATGCTATGTAATCCTGCTTCCATTTTCTGGTCTTGTTTATAACTGCTTGGGTACGGAGAAAAGAGAACGCAATAACACAAAGATTGTGTGTGTGTGTGTGACCTTCTCCACTACACCAAACTCCAAAGGAGGCTAACATTAAGTCCTGGGAAACAAGAAATCTTTAGAAATGACTCAGACAGATGTCCCACTGATTCACGGGGTTATAAAAAGGGAAATATAACAGATTTGTAAGGTTTTGCTAATACACTCAGTCTCAATAAAATGTCCTCTCAATCTTTCTATGGAGTGGATTACCTGGTCTGGTCTACTTGGTGGGAGTGAAAAACACAGAAGAAAAAGAGAAAAAAAAAATACATGGCCACCAGTTATGATGGAATTTCCTCATTCCCAGTGTATTGAGTTGTACTACTCTTTCTTACAGGATAGCTGGCTCTGATGGGCTTGGTAAGCACAGAAGAAGGGCAATTCTTCAGCCTTTGCTGCTGCTTCTCTTCCTTGTAGGCCATTTGGCCCTGTAAGTAAATGAAAATATGTCTTGTGATTCCATTTCTCCATCTTTTTTTACCACTCCTTTCTGTTCTCATCTCATTTGAACCTCAACCAATAGTGCTTGTGTTAATTAGTATCCAGCTATCTCCGAACTGGGAAAATATAGTAGTTGCTGACAACTGGTGCTTAATAGGGCTTCAGAGTCAGAGAGCAGGGTGACAAATTGTAGGTGAAGCTAGGGAAATGGTGGGGGTGGCAAATATTTTCAGTTTTTATATCTATCCTTCTCTCTTGAAAGATACTTAAGCAATACATTTTAATAACTTTGTTTTCTAATTAAACACAAAAAATATCCTCACATAAACATTGGAATCCTCCAACTAACTTTCATGTTCACTTTTTATATAGGAAGATGGCTTCTTATTTCTTTTGTCTGGCCAACAGGTTAATTTTCTATCACTAAAGTCAGGTTTTTCCTTAGTCATTGATTTTATGATGTATTGCCAAGGCATTAAGCCCATTCTCTGGCATGGGGTTCCTCAGAAAATTCTCAATCATTTCATTGCTTGGAATGCCTATTCTGTGGAAGTATAATCCTTAACAATATCAAGGCAAGCAGGTTGCGTTCAGATCACCCTCGAGGATCATGCAAAAGGTACTTCTTTGCAAGTGGAGAACCTGGCTTGTTACACAAAAAAGAAAGCTGTTTTTATCTTTCATCTGAAGCAACCTCAGTTGCTTCACTGAGGTTCTGTTAGGTTGTTTGAGACTATATAAAGAGGATATCAAGCCATTAGCAAGCCAATTGTTGCAATCCCGAGGGGCTCTTATTGCAACCCCTCCCTTTGCTTTTTAGGTCTAGCAGCAGCTGTCACTTCATTCCCAAGAAGCCTTCTTGCCACTTTGATGACAATTAGAATTTGTCCTTGTGCCCTGGTCATGTACTTCATTTGGTTTGTGGCAGTGTTTTTCAACCTGAGCAATTTTAAGATGTGTGGCCTTCAGTTTCCAGAATATTCCAGCCAGGGTGGTCTATGGGATTCGTTCCCTTGCAGGGGTGACTGCAGAAGAGTGTGTGTTTCTCGTTGTGTGTGAAAAAGTACAGATGGCAGTCACAACTGGGCGATCAAAGCTCAGCTTTTTAGGTGGGGTACATTCTGTAGTCAGGGCCACCATCTTGACATTTTTTTCACACTTACTCTCCATAGATGCTCCTCAGGCAGGGATAGGGCAGTTTGACCCTTGTCTTCTCAGCAGCTAGCCAGTAAACAAAAAAAGGAACTTGTGCAGCTTTCACACCCTATCATGAGACAGCAGCTGCTTCTCATAGATTACACTTATTTCTAACCTAGTCATTGTCCTGGTCGTGTGAACTGATGCGCCACATCTCCCCCTCTTTTCAGCCCACTATCTCCAAAGTTTTTCAATGGACCAGCTTGTAACTTAGGCCTGCCTAGTGGTGAGCTTCCTTTCACTGGCCATGTGTTTTTGTTCATAGTTGATAGGAGTAAAAGCCCACAGAATCCCTAGTGCAGGTAGTCTTCATTTAAATGACTACCTCATTTAGTGACCATACACAGTTCCCACAGTGACAAAAATGTAACTTTGCAACTAGCCCTCACATTTAAGACCTTCACAGGTCTGTAAACAACGGAAAGCTGAAGTAAGTGAATGCTTTGTTTAACGACTGAGCTGCTAGTCCCAGTTGTAGTCACTAAACAGGACTCCAGTACCATCCTTGCCTGTAACTCATGCTGAAGGAGGAAGTAGGAAGCAAAGTGATTTAGCAATTTCATCGTTTGTTTACTTGAATCTGGGACTGCCTCCCTCAGCAACCACCAAGCAACACAAGAAATGTCCAGTTGAGCACAAAGCAGCTCTTGCACCCTGAGTGGAAAGAGCAGCTGCTCATACTGTCTGTGGGTAGGAGGAAGGATCTGGTTTGGGGGCTGCTTTTTTCTCGGCTTTGTGTTTCGATTCCCTTCTGCATTTTTAAATAGTGAGAGAAGACAAATGGTCCTTCCTGGCTTGGAACAATTGCAAAGGACTAGAAAGTCAGAAGGGGGAAGTCAGGGAAGCCGAATTAGAGGCAAAAGATTAGGTTTTTCAAAGGCATACAGGATATAATTAGACTACTTTTTATGTGTGAGGGAAGCAAGCACTTTGGGACATTGCCTCCCGACTTGTTTTTTTTTCTTCAAAATTTTCAAACAAGCACATATAAAATAAAAATGAACAACTCATTTGCACATGAAGAAAAAAGAACCCCCCCCACAATAAATAAAGACTTCAAAAAACAAAACAAAAAAACCCCCCACTTTAACTACAAATATATTCTAAGCACAACTAATTTAATACATCTTTGAAAGGGTATTGTTCATCAACCCTGTCCAATTTTTCTTCCCAAATGAAGAGATAATGTGGCATTTGCTGATTGACAGAATTTGAATTTTCTAAAAATTTGCTAGATCATCTCTAACATCCTTTATATCTTGAGCATAGTTTTTCCCCCCCATCTTCTAAGGATTTAACTTTTTAGTATTCCTATTCTGGTTTCTCTTCAGATTGTATAAATCTTTTGCTCTCTTGACCGTTATATACCTCTTTTGAATTAGTATAAGCAAGTATGCGGATTCTTTGAAACATGATTTTAATTCTGCTTAAGAGTTTGTTTCCGTCCTAGTAGCCACACTTTCTGATTTGGGATATGCATGATGGATTAAGATACTCAGGCCAATTTAGTCATGATGCACCAAGAAATAGTGTGAGTAGGGAGAGAGCAGCCCGAAGGTCATGTATGTTTGTTTCTCTTTGATGCATTTTTTAAATTAAGGATTTTGATTACAGTATTAAAAAAACCCCTAATGCAAACTAAACCTAAAGCAAAAAGAATAGCAAGAAAGGTTAAAAAGTGAAAAAAAAAGAAAAAGAAAAAAGAATATGATAAAGAAAAATAAAATTATATAAAGAAGTGACTTCTAACCCTCATTACAACAACTGTAGATACATTTAATTACTCTTCACCCCACATAAAGCTACAGATGAATATCTCTTCAGCCCCATATCTTACCCTTTATCTGCAGATGGTCCTCAACTTGTAACCATCCATTCAGTGACTTCTCGAAGCTCCGATGGTGCTAAAGAAATGGTGTTATGACTGTTCCTCCGAGTTTTTATTTCTTCTAACCCAGACCCCAATTCTTCCATGCCCTGTCCTTCTAATTGGTCACTACTGTTTAACTGAAAGAGGTAGAGGAGATAGTAAAGATGATTTCCGGTCCACACTGGTCAGTGTGAGTTAATTAATGCAAGGTGTACAAATGAAAGCGCTTATTTCGGCTATCCTATACCTTTGAATAAAAGGGTATTATTCTGTCTGAGGTTGACTGTCATTCTAAAATGCTGTGATGAGAAATTGTTCCTCCTTTTTTAAACTGCACGGGTTCCTTTGAGAATTGACAAATATGGCTGTTCCGTGTTACTGTTAAAATATGTACTTAGCCTATATAATTTTAGATAAATACCAACTTGCAGTGACTAACTTAGAGAACAAAAGGTTGGCCGTTGCTTCAAAACAAACCTCAGAATAGGATGGAGAATACAATGCTTGAGTTTCTAAGTGTGCATCTGGCGGTGGATTTCCTTTGTGAAAGATTAAGGAACTAATTGTAGGTTTGTAACTTGATATGTGCAATTTCATTTCATATGGTTTTTCTGATTGCCCCCCCCTTACATGGATAGAGGTTTTTTTTCTCCCTTAGCCTTAAAGACAACCATGATATACTTACATATTATTTAAAATTATTAAAATAAATTGGGTCTAAGTTAACAGACAATATAGCAGTTTTTATCTTTTCTGCCTAATAATGTCATAAGGAAATCTAAATGCTTTTGGCTTATATTCAGAAGTTCTCTTCCTCCAATTAGAGTCTCTGGCTAAGATTGTGTCGGGGTTTACTGCAAATGAGATAAATAAACTAAAAAATTTATTCTTCATCTGCCCCTTCATCAAATTTTAAGATGTCTTTCAAAGAAATTTTCTGAAAATCTGAATGCTAAAAACTGGTCTGCAAGGAATGCTTTGTAATTGGTACCTTTTTCTATTTAAATACAGGCACCTGTGGTTTTTTTTGAAAAAAAAATCTATATTTTGTTGCAGTCTTGAACTGAAATGGTATGAAAAGAAGATTGGCTTGGAAAGCCTCTTAAATTCCTTGACTGTGTGTAGTTCTTCAATTACAGCATCCCAGAGATAATGCCATCTTTGCCAAACGAGGGAGGTAAGCTATTTTATTAGAGAAACCTCATACTTTGGGTTTAACAAGCAACTTATGGGCAGTTCAGATACTGTGTATTCTATTCAGTCCTGGCAATACTACATGCATGATTAGATAATGGACCTCCAGGTATAATTCCATTATGGTCCGTGCTGCTTCTCTGTATTTTTTAAAAAGACACAGGGAATTTGGGAGTTACAGAAGAGGGTTTTAAGTACTATCAAGCTACTTCTATATTGGGGCCATGCAGTATTGGTATTCTCTATAAAACAACTGCTTTGGACACAAAGAAATGTAATCATAGAACTTGACTGGTTCATTAAAACAGCTATATCTGCTTGCCCGTTCATTTAGTTGCAGTAGAAATCCAAGGAAGGGGTGATGGTCTAATGCAGGGGTCCCCAACACCCGGTCCGTGGACCAGTACCAGTCCTTGGCATGCCAGCAACCAGTCCGCACAAACAAGCAAAGCCCCATCCGTGGCATGCAGGCAGCACACAAAACCACGCATTCTCCAGTCCATGGAAAAACTTTTTTCCAAGGAACCGGTATCTGGTGCCCCAAAGGTTGGGGACCTCTGTGCTAATGAGTTGCAAGCAAAAATTGCTTTTGTACCTCCTGTCATTTTAAAATAACACTCTTGAATGAAATCTGAAACATACCGCATTATACGTTTAAGTAGGATTGTACATTTACACTGCAAAAAAAAACATGTGGTTTTTCTGGGATTGAGAAGATTGTAAATTCACTGGTGAACACATGGTCATTTTAAATTGAAATTTTTATAATTGGTATTTCAAAAGTTTTGTAACTGCTTGTTTAGCTTTGCTATGCTTTCAAGATATGTGATAAAATGATTTTCTGTGTATTCTCTGTATTTGCTGGAAAGAGAGTATGGTGATGACTTACTATATCCTTTTTTTTAAAAAACAGATAACCAAGGAACCACTTCTTTGACTTTGAGTTCAGGCCTATCCTTCCAAAATTCAATAAGGAGAAAAGTCAGAGAGAAGAAAAAACATGCGGCCATTACTGCGAATATTGCTGGCACAAAATATGAAATTGGTAGCGAGCTACATATTCTACTTAATTTACATTTAATCCTATGGTAAAATAAAGAAAGGTGGATGGAGAAAAAGAAAGTTGCATAGCCAAAAAAGTTTTATGCTCAAAATATTACATATTAGGGTGTTAATATATTTTTCTGTTCTTCCTTGAGAAAGGTCAGAGATGCTTGCTTGGACTTTCATTCAGACTGTGGTCACACGTATGCCTCCATTACAAAATAAGTGACACATTCAGAAATTTTTACAATAGATTAATGTATTTCATCTTAAAAGTTAGTCTTGGCATTTCAATCCCATCATAAGTGAATGGTAACTACTTAAAAAAAAATTCTCGTTTTGTGGAATGCTTGGTGCTTTCTGAGTTTGGTTGTTTGCTTGCAGATGTTTCATTACCTGACGAGACAATATCATCAGTGCTGGTGAGTGTGGGGTTTATATACAGTAGCTTATTGTCCCAATTCCAGTGCGGATGCGGTTTTCTCCTTGATAGTTCCTTGATTAGGCTGTTGTTTTCTGTTATCATAGTGGGTTAATGAAATATTTGCAAGCAAACAGCCAAGAACAAAGATACCAAGGACTTCACAGCTCAACCCTGAGCTATATGTATTCTTTTATTAAAATCCTATCATGCTAGAAAGTTGCATATTTATTAGAATGTATTTATTGTCTTGGTAAATTGCTCTAGCAGCTAATCTTAAAGGTGCTTTTCATCTCCATAGACATCGAGCAGCCAATATTTTTCAATATTATAATGCATTAAGCTCAGTGTGGTCATTCAAGTTCACATTAATTTTACACATCAATTACAAAAGAGAGCACATTGTTATTAAACTGGAGCTTAGCATTTCAGTTAGGGAAAATCTGTTTTTAATTGGGAGGATTATGATGTGTTGTTATAATCTGTCCAGTCAATACCATATCCTTACTATAATTACCACTTAGAGTGAAAGTATCATTATGAGATACTTCATTGTTTAGAAGACTTTTATACAAAATGGAACAGGATTTCTTTTTCTCTTTGTTTCATTTTAACGCCTCAGTGTTAACCATTTAGGGTTCTTGAATATTATCTACTATTCTTCCAACATTCTGCTTTTGCTTATCTATAGCTGTGGTCATTTAGATTTTGACTGATTTTTCAGTTGGCATCAATGAAGTAAAGTACAAATATTGCCTGTTAAGACAAAGCAATTAACCAAGAAGATAATAAATCATACCTTGCAACTTCCATTATGTAAATTTAGTTAAAAAGGCAACAGCTAAGAAACATTTATAAAGTGAACTCTCATCAGAGTCAACACATTCCTACTGATTCAAATAAAAATCAACTGGAGGTTTTAGCAGTATTTTGAAAGCTAAAAGGTCCTTTTATAAACCAGTTTTTATCCCTAACGTAACACACAATTATTATATTTCTACAGTAGGAATACAGATTCTCCCCAATTTACGACCAAAATTGTAACCAGAATGTCTGTGGCTAAGCAAGGCAGTCCTTAAGTGAATCGTGCCTAATTTTACAACTGTTTTGCCACAGTTAAGCAAATCACTGCAGTTGTTAAGTAAATCATACGGTTGTTAAGCAAATCTTCATTGACTTTGCTTGTTGGAAGCCACGAAGGTCACAAATGGCAATCACATGGCTGCAACCCTCATAAATACATGCCAGTTTCCAAAACCCTGAATTTTGATCATGTGACTAAGGATGCTGTGACCGTCATAAGTGCAAGGACCGCTCGTAAATCACCTTTTTTTCGGTGTTGTAACTTTGAACAGTCGCTAAACAAATGGTTGTAAGTTGAGAACTACCTGTTATTCCTGTTGTGAGCTGAATAATGTGAGTAATTTTAATAGTAATGCTGTGTGCTAATATTACCTGCTGTACATCCAGATCTGGAAAAATTAAGGTTAGCTCTCTGGATGTTCAGAAAGCTAATTGTTTATGTTGATTGCCATGTATCTATTTCTGTCTTGTAGTCCGGATAGCAATAGAAGAAATGGGATTTGTGAAGACTCGGGATGATGATGAGACCGCAAACATTATCTGGAGTGATTGTGCTGTGCAGCAAGAAAAAATTGCAGATCTCCAGAACTACCAGGTAAAAATCAGGAGGCGCTGAGACATTGATTAAAGCAGTAAACTGTTATATCTCCAGGATTTCTCGTAGTAGTTCAGATCAATTAATCCTGGCTCAAAATTGGAAACAAACTATTTTCAACAGATACATTTGTCAGAAGTATGATCAAGGTAACGATCATACTTAGGCCCAGTACTCTTCAATATCTTCATCAATGACTTAGATGAGAAGTAGAAGGGGAACTCATCAAATTTGCAGATAAATTCCATAAGTAAATAAATAAAGTATTCATATATGTTGTACAAGGACTCAGGTAAGCCAATGATTCTTCAGGGTTACATTTACTAGCTACATTACCTAGTTTTTGTTCCTCCTATTTGAATGGTGGAGTTGTACCAGTGAAATAGCTCAACCAAAGCACTTGAGATGTTAGTGTATTGCAATATTCCTACTTTATTTGCATTTTCCAGCAATCCCCCCCATCTGATTTTTTTTTAAAATAGTAAGAAACAAAGAGCCATTGTGTTCCTAATTGATAATTTGATCAGGGTTTCAGTGATCTGGGACCAAATTCCTAAATTGAGAGAAAGAGAGAAAGACTGTATTATATTAATCATACTTCATGTAAGTTAAATAAATAAATAAATAAATGTAGGATTGCTAAGAAGCCCATACAGATAGTCGTCGCTTAGCGACCATAATTTGGATTGGCAAGTTTGCAGTTAAGCACTGCAGTTGTTAAGCAGAAGATTGTGTGACCATGGTGAGTTTACAGTGTCGCTTTCCATTTGGTCATTAAGCAAGACATCACATTACAGTGTCTTTGCAATTTTATTTTCACATTTTCTAACTGCTTGTTGGAAGCTAGTTGTGAAGCACAAGAATGTCAATCACATGACTGTGGGACACTAACAGTTGTAAATGTGTGCTGCTTGCAAAGCATCCAAAGCATGATCAAAATACTGATATGCTGCAACGGTCATAAATGTGAGGACTGGTTGCAAAGCTGTTTATTTTAAATAATTATCACTTCGAATAGTTGCTAAATGAGAAAGTTGGTTAGCGAGCAATACCTGTACATATTTCTGGTCAATACACTATTTACTAAATGTCAGAAGCTTCAGAACATATTTAATAATATTATCTTGCACTTATAGTTATTGACTGATCTTCAGGTTTGAGATGTATCAGCTTTGTATCAGAAGTATCTATCTAATGTGTCTATTCTGCTTTTTTTTTTTCCTTCCAGAGAATCAACCATTTTCCTGGAATGGGGGAAATCTGTAGGAAGGACTTCTTGGCACGAAACATGACCAAGTAATTTGCTTTCTTTTTCTTTTTCCTGTTAATAATGCAGAACTATTGGTTACAATGCAGGTTAAGAAGTTTAAATATAGCTACTAGTTTGTTACTGGATGTCCAAGTAGTCATTAGTAGTTCCTGAATGTCATCCAGTTCCTAAGGATGGTCCTCTATCAGTCTTTGGTGGTTCTTCCAAAGAGCCATGAAGGATGAATCTATCAATATCTACTCATCAGGGCATCCCCTATGTCCAGCAGCTGCAATAAGTAATACTTGATATGAGTGCAGGGGGAACTACACAAGAAAACTGCATGCTTTATGCCTTAAACTTCTTGAAGGCGTCTGGTTAGCCTGCATGACTTTTTTGGCCGGGTCCTGGAAAGGTTTCGTTTTTAATCAGTTGGATTATGTTTTCTTTGAGTTCATACATAACCAACAGAAAAATGTATTCCAAATTGGAAAAGTTGGAAAAAAAGTTTTCTGTGTGAGGAATTCTTCAAATACATCTATCTTGTAAATATACAATCCATATTTACATACATGTAATTTGAATACTTCATTTGATTTTTACTTTATGCTGAGAGAGTTGCTAGATAATACACAATTAAATTTACAAGCATAAAAATAGTTATCCTGAGATAATGCCTTGTTTTCCCCCCCATCTCTATTGTATTTATGACATTTTTATCAAAGTAGCGGAGAAGTATAATTAAAACTCAGAAAGCTGCTTTATACTGATCTGAGCTGTAATCATGGTGTGAGTGTATGTTTGTGCGTTAGATAAAACTCTTAGTTCTCAGATTTCGTTTTTTTTTTTTAAATAGTAATAATAAATAGATAAGGATTAGTAGAGGTTAATGCATCTATTTGAAACATTACTTTAAAAATGAAGTCAAACTGAAAACCAACGATTTTGCTAGCCAGTTTGGTCTAGTGCAGGGGTAGGCAACCTTGGCTCTTTTATGACTTGTGGACTTGAGTTGAAGTCCACGAGTCATAAAAGAGCCAAGGTTGCCTACCTATGTAGTTTAGGCATCATGCTATAGAAACAAGGAGACTGTGAGTTCTGGACCTACCTTAGACATGACTTGGTGACTTTTGCTCACCCTAACTCACGCCACAGGGTTGTTTGTGGAGAAAATAGGAGGAGAAAGGAGTATTAGGTAAGTTTGCTACCTTGAGCTACTTATAATAAATAATAAAGGTGGGATAAAAATAAATACTTTTCAGTGGTGTGATCTCAGGAACTTTGGGCAAGGGAGCATGGTGCAGAAATCGGCTGTATAGTCATACAACCCATTGCTTGTGGGTTGCCTTTCTCTGCCCTTAAACATATAGTATAATAAAACATATAGTATATAGTATAAAACATATCAATACTTTCAGTGCTCAGCAAGCAGAAAAAAATGTTCTGACATTAACCACTTTAGTTGTCATTTCAAAAAGAGCTTGAACAAATTAATTGAGCATTACTAATGCCTTAAACCAGGGGAAGACAAATCTGCACGAAGGCTGAATTGTCTGTTTTCCAGATTCCTGGAAAAACAAAGGGGGCTCTGTAGAATAGGTTTCTTTTCTCCCCCCCTTCCATCGATTAGGCCACCTTTTTAGCTAATGGGATTTCCCCTCCCACTTTTCTAAATAGAGAACAGATTCAGTTGTGTGAAGAAAGCACCCCATAACAGTTTTCCCATGGAAAACTAGTTCACCCTTCCCCAAAATAGCACCCTTCAAATTTATTCATATATCTCTGAGCATTCTCAGCTGATACGCCAAGAAGAGATCACGGAAGATATAATTCTACATATCCAGAGGGCATCAGATTAGGGAAGATCTAGTCTTGACTTTCAAAGGTAACCTTCAGAGTTAGCGGTAGTCCTTGACTTACAACCACAACTGAACCCCAAATATTTGTGGTTAAGTGAGACATTTGTTAAATGAGTTTTGCCCCTTTTTTACGACCTTTCTTGCCACAGTTGTTAATCACTGCAGTTGTTGGTAGTAACAAGTGAATCTGGCTTCCCCATGGAGTTTGCTTGTCAGAAGGTCGCAAAAGGTGATCACATGATCCCAGGACACTGCAACCGTCATAAATATGAACTAGTTGCAAGCATCCGAGTTTTGATCATGTGACCATGGGGATGCTGTAACGGTCATAAGTCACTTTTTTCAGTGCCGTTATAACTTTAAATGATCAATAAATGAACTGTTGTAAGTTGAGGACTACCTGTACTGAAATGTTACTTCAGCTAACAAGGCATGTTGTTCATCACTTTTTGACCAGTCAGAAGTTTCTATCACCTCAAATACTGTTCACATTTTTCAGATATTTAGGATACGAGCAATCAGATAACGGGGTTAATTGGTGAGGGCGAAGATATGAGCCTTATCTTAGTTTGAATATACTTGTGAAATTTGGAATACAGGTTGTCCTTGACTTGCAACTGTCTGAAGTTCTGACAGACCTATGGGACAGTGGGGGAGAGGGGAGGTGACATACGACCCAGATTCAAAGTTTTGATGGCCGTTCCCTCCCCTCATGGTCATATGACTGCACTTTGGATGCTTGACATTTAGGCTGCATTTATGGCTGTTTGCAGCATCTTGCAATCACGCAACTGCATTTTATGATGGTTTTGTGAAAAATGGCGTTTACTTCCATTTTCTTTGGCAAAACTGTAAACATAACAGTTGCTTAACAACCTAATGACCATCATAAACAAAGGCTGCAAAATTGTGTCAGTTATATGACCAATCATTTTACGACCATCACCTAGTTACGACCATGATGAACAGGCTCCGTTACAGTCGTAACTTGAGGACTACCTGTATCCCCCCCAAAAAATAAAAAATCATGGTGGTGTGTATTTAAGCAAGACAATAAAGCAATTCTACAATCCTGAATCACAGCACTGCCATTACTTGGGATCTATAATAACCGTAAGCACAATTATAAAAATTGTAATGACGGTTGCGGGTTTTTCTTTTTTTTCATTTTGAAGTGTTCTTTCTACAATTACTAGTAGCTTTTGTAACAGGCTCTCTATTGTACACAGACCCTGACACTCTTGGCTCCAATCCTGGATCTGCAGATGGCCATTTTTGCAAGTTTTGTACCCACATGAGCTATTAGTAATTGTATATAATCTCTCAGCCAAATGAAAAAAGATGACAGAAAGGTTGTTCTTGTTTTGCTTTGTTTTCTATTTATTGTAAAGTGACGAGTATAATAGTAGTACCTGGCGTGTATCAACATTTTTTTAGTATAACCTTTGAGTATATGAAGATCCTTATTTACATCTGTCATTTCTGTGGTAATTCTTATAAAAATCTTATATTTTTTCCGCCTCTTTAAAGGAAATAAATTGTAAGCAATTTAATGTACACTTTTGTGTACATTACAACTGTCTCATTTAACGAGGGATATTTTGGGCTCTGTTGTGGTCGTAAGTCGAAGTATACGATCTAGGAATATGTTTTTCTTTCTTCAGTTTACTGCTGCTAAATCAGATTGAAACCACAGATATGAAAATGCACTGCTCCTTTGGTTCTGTTTTTCAGAATGATCAAATCTCAGCCACAGGAGTATAGTTTTATTCCTCGGACGTGGATTTTTCCAGCAGAGTTTACCCAGTTCCAGAACTATGTAAAAGAACTAAAAAGAAAGCGCCGAAATAAAACGTTCATAGTCAAACCAGCTAATGGGGCAATGGGACATGGGTAGGTACAGTAGCAACCCAGTGGAGTCCTTTCACATCACTACGCTTGTTTATATAATTGGAATTATAATTAGATATTGAGGTTCTAAAAATGTTATTCATTAATAACAAGCACAATAAGCAGGCTGTTGATGCTGCTACTGGGAACAAATAGTGGACTGGATTTGTTAGTTTTCTTTCCATTATTAGAAAGGTACTAAATATAAGATTATGTTTGTCTTATTATACCATCCATATACAGGTGGTCCATGCTTAACAATGCTAATTGGGATTGAAAATTCTGTCATTAAGGGAATGTGATCATAAATAAAAAAACACCAAATGACTGTGTTGCTTAATGACAGTAGTTCTGGCAGTCCCAGTGCTGTCATTAAGCAAGGATCACAAGCATACCACATGACCACAATTTCCAATTTCCTGTTATAGAATTCTTTATTGGCCAAGTGTGATTGGACACACAAGGAATTTGTCTTCGGTGCCTAAGCTCAGTGTACATAAAAGGTATAAGTGATAAATCGTGATCATAGTCATCGTAAAAATTTTATCATAAATCATAAGATACAACACTTAGTGATAGTCATAGGATACTAGATAAGCAATCAACATAAATCATACTAGGAAACTAAATAAATATAAATTGTAAGATACAAGCAACAAAGTTATAGTCATAAGTAGATAAGGAGGAATAATAGTAATACAGCCTTACTAAATAGTTTGACAGTGTTGTGGGAATTAGTTGTTTAGCAGAGTGATGCCATGGGAGAAAAACTGTCCTTGTGTCTAGCAGTTGAATTCTCCATTTACTTTGCTTATGGAAAGTTGGCAGGGTAAGTCACTAATCACAATCACCTGACTGTAGGATGCTGAGAAAGCTGTAAGGACAAGATACAGTTATAATTATCAGTCATTCAGCATTGTTGTAAGTTTGAGCAGTTGCTGAACAAGTAATCATTAAATGAGGACTACCTGTAATAATCTGTTTATTACTTATTTAGTAAACAAATTTATGTAATTGCCCAACTCACACACAGCATAGCATAGCACAGCACAGCACAAGAATTATTGGTGAGAGATATTCAAACACTTGGTAAACTATACAGTATAATAGATTTGGAGTACATGCCTAAGAAGTAGGTTTGATAAACCTGGCTTAAAGCAAGTGAAACCAGTAGCTTACTATTTAAGGGACATTATTTTTATAAATAATTAGCCAGAATGGAAAGTCTTCATTTTTTCTTTTTTGCCTTTTATCAGGATCTCCCTTGTCAGAAATGCAGAAAAACTTCATTCTCAGGACCACCTCATAGTTCAAGAATACCTTGACAAGCCCTTCCTTATGGAAGGTTACAAATTTGATTTAAGGGTGTACATTCTGGTAACTTCATGTGATCCACTTAAAATATTTTTATATAATGATGGATTAGTGAGAATGGGCACAGAGAAATATCATCCACCTAATGAATCAAATCTGGTAAGTAAAGGTTTGAGTGAATAAAAATAGTGCAACACTATATGCTTAGGCAAACCCACTGTATATATTGTAATAGAGAACAGCTAGGTATTGATTGCAAGATAAATTGTTTTGGAATGATTATATTTTGCTTTGTTTTTAATTTCTGTTGAGTTGAGAGTCAGAAGAATACAATGGTAGAGGGTGTCAAAAGCTGCTGAGAGGCCTAAAAAAGCCAGGATGGGTCCACAACCTTCATCCACAACCAACGTTCTGACAAAGCTCATCCACTAGTGTGATCAGTGCCATCTGGGTTCCATGTTCAGTCCTAAGCACTGATTTAAAAAGGGTCCAGCAAATTCATTTCTTTTAGAATTCTCCATGGGATTATGTTTAGCCTTTGATCCTGGAGACAATATACAGATTTCATGACTAGATAGATTTATTCTTCATCAGTTTATTCACTTTACCAAATTTTATGCCAGCAAATTTGAATGGTTTAGTTTGGCATATCTAAATAAGTTTTTCCTTTCGTCTATCCTGAATTTCCAACCTTGGTATTTCGTTAGATAAGTAAATTTAGATAAATAAACAAATAAATTAGATAAATTACTATTAAGTAACTATTAAATTAAGTAAATACTATTCTGTATCAAGGAAAAAACTGCCAAGTTGATTTCCCCCCCCCACATCATCCATATTTTTTATTCCAACTTCTTAAAAATTAAACAAATCTGTATGGACATTTGCTCATTCATTTTAGTCGATATCACAACCGATTACAATACCCAACTTTTTTAGATTTATCCATTCTTTCATAAATACCTTTTTTGCAGTGTAAAAATTGTTTCATTATCACCATCTTCATTAAGTCTCTCTTTAAACAGAACCGCAAACTCGCTTTCTCTACTTGCCTCTCAGGAATCACATTCTCATTTCTGTTTCAGAGCCAGTTGTATATGCATCTGACCAACTACTCTGTGAATAAGCATAATGAGCATTTTGAACGGGATGAAACAGAAGATAAAGGCAGTAAGCGCTCTATAAAGTGGTTTACTGAGTTTCTGCAAACAAATCACCTTGACGTTTCCAAATTCTGGAATGATATTTCAGTAAGAGAAAACTAATACGCAATAGATGTTCTATGTTCGGTCGTCATAATGCTCTGTACCGTTCCTCCTGAACTGGGACATACTATGGATTTTGATGCAACGGAAGTCCTTATTTAATTTTTTTTTTAATACGGCAGAACTGTTATATGTAGAATCTTGTCATTATGTCAAAGGGGGGAAATGGGCAAAATACCAGATTTATTTTCCCAAGAAACTGAATAATAACGTTTTGAATTAATTATTAGAATCCTTTGGCAGTCCTGATTAGATCCTAGATATTCTTTGCCCTTGAATTTTTGTGATTTAGAGCCCAGCCAACAATCAATTCTTATTTTGTTAGAGTCTGTCTTATTTTGCTGTTTAATGTTTTTCTGTAAAATTCAAATAAACACAATAATGATGCTATTCTGCTATCCTTATCTTTTTGCACAATCTCTCAGGAGTTAGTGGTGAAGACACTTATAGTAGCAGAACCACATGTTCTTCATGCTTATCGCATGTGTAGACCAGGGCAGTCTCCTGGAAGTGACAGCGTTTGCTTTGAAGTTCTGGGATTTGATATTCTGCTGGACAAGAAACTCAAGCCATGGCTACTAGAGGTGAGCAGCTTTACAATAATTTCAATAAGTGTATAAAGGTTAAAAAAACAACAACTGGTATGCCACTCAGTATCATTGTTGACTTAAAAATAAGATATTCTCATTTAACCCCTAGAAGTGGAGTCGATGACTCAGCAGTTAAAGATGTTGAGCTTGTCAGCTGAAAGCTGATAGCCTGGATTTGAAACTTGAGCACCACGCAATGGGGTGAGCTCCCATTACTTGTCCCAGTTCCTGCCAATCTAGCAGTTCTCAAAAGCATGCAAATGTGAGTAGATAATTAGGTACCACTTTGGTGGGAAGATTACAGTGTTCCGTGTGCCTCCGCATATAGTCATGCTGGCCACATGACCACAGGAGTGTCTTGGGACAACGCTGGCTCCCTCAGCTAAGAAACGGAGATGTGCACTGCCCCTGAGAGTCGGACACGACTGGACAGGGGTTTATATATTACACATTAAAAAATAGAATTAAGAGGGTGACTTGAAGTGAGCTGTGCAATCAAATATGGCTCCTGAAAATACATACTCTGTACATACATGCATTAATACATGAACATGTATGTGTACACCTGTAATATCATATTTTGCTGTGTGGTGATTAAAAGCCCTGATCTAGAGGCTGGGAGAGCATGAGTTCCATTCCTGCCTTAGGCACAGAGCCAACTGGTTGACTTTGAGCCAGTCATTTTCTGTTCTTCCTAGGGAGAAGGCAGGGCTTCATCCTGCAGTGGAGTAATTTGGGATGATAATCATGACAATGATTATGATGACAGCTGTTACTCATCTAACTTGCGGTTAAGTAGCAGCTTTTTAGATCAAGGCTGATATTTTTAGAAATGTACCATAAAAATATTTTCAGACGAAACATGATAGGGACAATATTAGTTGCATTTTTGAACCATGAATCAGAACCTCTTTTCTCCAGCTATGCTCACATATTTTTTTCTCTAGCAGAAGCGTGTATGTCATCTCACAAGTATTTTTCACCATCTAGTGGATAAAACATGAAATGTTCTATTCCAAATAAAGTAATCTTGTCTGTTTTGTTTCATCTTTGATTTGTCTGGATAATAATGTATCAGCAATATATGAATAGAGAGAGATCTATACTGTAAAGGGTTCCATGTTGAGCAGAACCTGTTTCTTCAGGGTCCTGGTGACCCTAGTATGGTCAGGAACGTCTTCAACTGCCTTTACATTTCAAGAAATTTAAAGAATGTAAATAAATTACAGATAGATTAATGTGCTTGAAAGTAGTTCTCCATCAGATGTGTTGACCTCTACTTTCAGGATCTCTAGTCAATGTTGAGTAGAGGAACAAGGGATCTGTAGTTTAACACATCTCAATAACACCCAACTATAAAGCCACATAGTTGGGCATAGTTGTCAAGAAAGAAAGCTGTTAAAGAGAATGAATAAGATTCCCAGGTAAAATGTTGGAAAAATACAACCAAGTGGTTGGAAATAAGGAGGTGCCTTCAGGAAGTGGACAAAAGAAGAAAACTATGGTTAGGAAAGAGTGGTAACAGATTCTAGACTGAGGCTTACTCCTGGGTGATGAAATGGTAACTGTAGCTAGGAATGGCTTTTTTCAATTTGGTGTTACATCAACTTGAGAACTTATAATTTACATCCAAACTTGATTGATTGATTGATTGATTGATTGATTGATTGATTGATTGATTGATTGATTGATTGATTGATTCATTCATTCATTCATTCATTCATTCATATTATTTTATATGCCACCCATCTCACTCCACAAAGCAACTCTGATACCAGAATGCATTGTAATATATTCTGCGTTGATAATCTGAATTTTCCAAACTGCAGAGGCTTGCAGTTAAGTGAAGCCAGTAAAGAAGAATATACAAACGTAATGCTCGTTGATTAAGAATTTGCTTTGGGGTCCAGTTTAAAATATTAGTGTTTAAAAGCCTACCATCAAAACTATCTTAACAAATCTGTTCACACTTTTCCTATTCTCAGGATCTAAGCTGGGGGGGGGGGAAAGAGACTGTTACACTCCAATATTGCTAGCCTACAACTCTCAACAGTCATAGGCAATACAGTCAATGGAGCGATACTAGAAGTCATAATTTTGCAACTTCCAAAACACTACAGATTCTCCAACTGAACTAGCACAATTGGACATAAGGAGTGTTTGCTTGAATGTCAAACCTGAAAATAAATTAGTCTCATCCAAATGGAAATATGGCAAAGTATGCTTAAAATATTTTTAGTATAATAATGTAGCAAGTTTTGGCTTATCCCCAACTCTGGGAGATAAAATTTTAAGCAGCTTAGTATTTGTGAGAATTGAGTATTGTGGCTTAACATCTTCCTTCCTGTTGGCAAGAGAGGAGAGTGCATTGTAATTATTATTTTCTGCCAGAATACATATTTGGATTGCAGAAACCTATGAACATTATATTAAGCAACAAAAGCACAAGATCAAAAGTGGATTTTGTGAAGCATTTTGTCTAGTTTTCGATTCCTACTGGTATTAGGGGAATTCAAATTCAAAACCCAAAATATAACTGCCTTTTTGCTGCTTGAGAAAATGCCAGTAGCAAAACTTTTACAGTGAATTTGTGGAACTGCTGACTTGGTATTGCAAAAGGAAGATAATTTCTAGCTCCATGTAAATGCACTAATAGCTATAGTCCCCAAGATATTGAACATCACCTAATGTCTTCATCATTGTGGTGTGTTCATATTGTGGTGAGCCGCATTATTATGACCTGTAGGACACTACAGAAATAATTGATCGGTCTAGCTAATTCGATCAAAATGATGCAGAAGATGATTTGCTGTTGAAATAGGTTACCATAAAGTACATATGATAGCTTACATGCAGTAGTTCAGATTTACTCCATGAAATATTCTGTAGCAGAAATGGAGAATTTGAGGTTCATCAGATGTTATTAAACTACAATTTCAAATATCCATTACAATTGGCCACACTGCCTGGCAGGGTGGATAATAATCAATTTTTTTAAAAAAAAATTAAAAAATGGATTTTTAAAAATCTTTTATCAAATTTATTTTAATAAAATGCTTTTGGAGTAAAAATCTATCTAAACATAGTTTTCTATTTAAGATACATTAATAATTTAGTTTATTCAACATGGAGTTTAGTTATGTAGCACGGGGCTGTATATTCTGCAATATTTACATTTTTGGTAAACTCAATCCAAGCTTTGCAAGCTGAGATAACATGTACTGCATTGATGCATTCACACAATTTCAGAGTAATCATGAGATAAATCATAAAATAAAGTTCAGGATTTTTTTTTTATCCCATCGTTTTGCAAATCTATGTATACTACAAACTGTACGATTGTTTGAAGAAAAGTGCATCTGTATCAGGCTCTAATTAAATAAAAGAATTTGAGTAGTTTTCCAACTATTGTGTTTCCCCGAAAGTAAGACCTGGTCTTATATTATTTTTGCCTCCAAAAGAGGCATTAGGTCTTATTTTTTTGGGGGGGGATGTCTTATATTTTTTGTGACACCTGCCTCACCTTGCGTTGGCGGCACCAACAGCTTCATGCCGCAGGGACCTGCGTGGCTGCCGGCCCACTTTTTATTATTATTTTTTATATAATATTTTATTAGTTTTCTAATTTTACAATTAATATTTAAAAAGCAACGTGGTGGCTGTGTTAATATTTCAATAACATACATAAATCTTTAGTACAAATCTCAAGTTACAACATCAGATATTTTCTCTCTTTTTCCTTCAATATCTACTATCTCATATTAGGCTAATATAGTTCTTATTATTATCAACTAAGTAAAAACATCATTATTACATGTATCAATAATTTTTAGCTTATACATACTGTATCTTAATTGTGTTTGCACTCAATCCTTATATACAATCAATGTCCTGTTATTTCTTTTTCCCCAAGCTTTAATTTCCCATCAATATTCATGTTAACATTTGATATTTATAATTTCCAAACTTTAGGTAACCAAAGTTTCCCTTTTCTCAACTTCTTTTTTCCATTTTTCATAACAAAATCTAATATTCTAAATACACATCTTATCTATTTGAGTATAGTCTTGTTCTAAAGTTATCTATCCATATTAAACCATCTAATTAATAATACAGTATCCCCTTCAATAAATCAAAGCCATTAATTTTTCGTTTGGGTTTAATTTTTCTGGTAATATCTTTTATCTCATATTAAGCAAACAGAATTCTTATTTTCAATTGATTTCTAAATATTTTAAATTAGGTGACCAAAATTCCCCTTATCTCAACTTTTCCCTTTTCCCCTTTTCATACCAAAGTCTATTTATCTTGTTACACATCTTACCTATTTAATTATAGTGATACTTTATTTTCTAAAAGTTATGTATTTTCCACCATATTCAACCCTCTAATTAGTAATATGAAATGCACTCTAATAAATCAAAACCCTAATTTTCTTCAGCCTTACTCTGGGTTTTTTCCTTTGTCAAGTAGTCTTCCATGTCAATGCATTTAAACCATCAAATAGTTCTCCCTCTATTATTATATATATTATTTGAAATAAGAAAGACCATTTAATTGCAGTTTTTTGGGAAGAACTAATCCACTTGTATTCATTTGATCGCCTCCCTATTACTCCAATTTCCCAAGATTATCGTGATAGGTTTATCTTCCATTCAATCTGTTCTTCTTCTCCTCAAAATTCTTCTGATTTATATAGAAACTCTTTTCCATTTTCAGTGTTGTCACTCCCTTTTCTGAATTTTCCGTTGGTTGGATTTGTTGGTCAATTAAGTCCTCTGTCTTAGTGTTTGGTTGTTCCACTTCTGTTATTTTCTGTATTGTTAGTTCTTTGGTTGTAGTCAAAATCTGGGTTTGTATATCTAAGCTGGCATCTTGTTCCTTTATGTTGCATCTTATTTTGTCACAAGCTGAGAGAATAGTTTCGTGTATTGATTTCAACATGGAAAGGTTTTTTTCCTGATCTTCATCCATATTCTCTTAATAGTGTATTAAGTTGAAGACTTCAGAATCAAACGTTAAAAATAGTTCAAACAGGCCAAATATGTCACTCAGAAGTTCTCTATTACAGCTGAGTTTCTCACAGGTGGTATCTGTCAAGGTCAGAAGAGTTTTATCTTGAGTCTGGGCTTCAAGCCAAATCTCTTTTAGGCAATAACAAGTTGTAATACCATACTTCGCCAGAAGATGTCACCGATGCCATTTAAAACTTTAAGTACAAAGTTTTTATGCGAGTTTTTCAAGTTTTATTTCTTTTTTTTTAAATTAAAACAAACATCTCCAGTAAGAATAGGAAAACTTTTAGTCCCCAAGTTTCCAAAACATATAGATCCAGTTAGATTAAAATTGTTCCTATAATTGCTTTAATTCCCCTGGGTAGTTAGTCGCCGCTTTTCTTGGATGGTGGGGTAGATATTCCCTTCCTTCTCTCCTCACAGGGGGAAGAATACTTTGGGCAGCTTTTACAGGAGAAAGTACTTAAAGTCTTAAAGAGAAGATCAGATCTCACCCAGTTTCATCCGTGTTGCTTTAAAGGTGCTTGATGGTAATTTTGACTTCAGCTGTCAGCAGCTTAGTGACGAGCCTTATGGCCGGTCTTTCCCTTGCCGATTCAATTATTCATTTTTTCTGTGAGAAGGAATAATATCCTCATATATCACCTTTTTTTCCTACTAACCACTAATAAGCTTCTGCATACACATATATTCCCATGCTTTTCAGATTTGTTTTGGTTTTAATAGCTTTACATTATTAGTTTTATATAAAAATTAAATTTTAATAATACTTATCATGTAAACATTTTGAAATGTGAATTAAAATGTGTTACACTGCACAGTGCAAATGTTTACGCGTTCTTTGCCTGTGATTGAGGGTTCATGCTCCAATTATAATAGCAAATAGCTAAACAATACAGGCAAAGTAAATGCATTTTATATGTAACATTATTTTGGATATTTCACATGCCATAAAATTTGTAGCATGTGTGTAAATCTTACCTCCTTTACAATAAAAGGATTTTTTTTTCAGATAGCAAAATATGATTACTTGGTACGTTTGCAAGTAAGGATCTTGAAAATTTGGTCTGGGATACATGCATATATATGAGTGATGGAATGTTTTGTACATACTATTTTTTGTATTTAACATTCCTGAAAATGTTCTTCCTTTTTTTTTTTTCATTTTCTCAGATTAATCGAGCTCCCAGCTTTGGTACTGACCAGAAAATTGATTATGATGTGAAAAAAGGTGTCCTTTTGAATGCATTACAGCTTCTCAACATCAGGTAAATATGCATAAGCTAGTTATTATTTATTATGGTTATAAAAAAATTGAGGTACATTTACCATATTTTCCCAAAAAATGTTTTCATACAATTTAAGTTAAACCCTTTGACTTTTGAGTATTTAATCCAAATACAGTATAATACAATCTTTGTCATTACTGGAAAAGAGTAAGTTAAATCCTAGTTTGATCCAAACGGTCTGGCCAGATTTTTATGAAGTAATTTCTTGAGGCAGAAGAAGATTGTGTTCATGTCTCTATTTTCCATCTGATTGGACTAAGAAGATTACAATGAAACTGGTATTACTGTATATCTGTGCATATTCTCTTAGAGTGTGAAAATGCCTAGAGCCATAGGATTTCTTTTTTAAACAGCTTATTATAAATGAGGCCTCTGAGGACATTTTGTATTCCTCTAGTCTAGTTGATGTTAGGAATTCCAATATCTTGTTTGGTACCATTTGTCCAGTGTCTTTAGGAGGAGTTAGTTGTTCAGGTATTACCAGGTGAAGCATCTGAAAGCAGCATGGTATTGCAGTTGCCAGGTGTTATATCAGGGCCTGACATTAACAACCAACTGAGGAGGATTGTTTCTGAGGAGAACTTATTTCTGATAGTTCATTGTCTGGCTGACAGAGATAGCTCCCATCTGCTCTATCCTGGGGAGAGTGGTTGTAGTAGTAGCAACTTTTTCCCCTCCATTGTAGCTTGTCGGTACCAAGCACTCATTGGCTTACCAGTGCAGGTAAATGAAAACAGAAAGGGTATCTTGGAATAGCTGCCATGTAAGAAAAGGAAGAAAATGGGCGGCCTCTACTTCTGCAACCATGGTAAATGGGCGGCCTCTACTTCTGCAACCATGGATATTTGTGCTTCTCCATCTGGGAGGTTGGTAGGTATGGGAAAAAAGCGAGCTTGCTAGTCATTAGCAAATAAAGATAGCCCTGGACTCTAACATCATTGTGCCAAAAAAGTTGAAAACTCCACTTGGGTAGCTTTTGTTGATCCTGTCAAGTATTTTCTTTTCAGGACAAGTGATAAAAGAAAAAATTTAGCCAAGCAAAAAGCAGAAGCTCAGAAGAGACTGTACGGCCAAGGGTCAATGAAAAGGCTGTCCCCTATATCTTCTGACTGGGAAAAGCAACGGCGTTCCCTAGAAAGGAGGAGAGAAGAACTGGTAATTTAAAACATCTATGTATATATAAATGAAGGAGCCATGTTTTCTACCTTTTTCTCTAGCGGTATGTTCAGTCATTTCCACATGTTCTTGGCTTCCAGAAAGAGAGACTTGCACAAGTACGCAGGCAGATCTCCAAAGAAGAGCATGAAAACAGGCACATGGGAAACTATAGGTAACTATGTAATCCCTAGATTCCTAATTCAAAGTATATCTTGGATTCATTTGATTTAAAATGGAATTCACTTTGCTTGTATCATGCTTACGTAAAGGTGCTTTCTTCTTTAATGATGAAATGGGCTAATAATAATAGACCTTAGGATGGGTGTAAGCTATTTATTCTCAAAATACTATTGCCAACAACATGATGAATCATGGTTATACAGTTCTCTGAGATATTTATTTCCTCTGTTCAGAGAGAATTCTTTCCTGGCTAAAATGGAAGTTTAGTGTGAAATCAAAGCCATAACTAAGCCAACTTTCTTAAACAACATTTTCCCCAATCGAACTCAGATTATAAAAATAAGATCTTACTGAGGTTTTTTTTGTTAAACTTTAAGACAGATTTTGAGATATGTCACTATCAGCCTATGGTTCTGTTGATGGCCTACAGAAGAAAGTCTTGTCATGCATCATAAATTCCTTAAGAGTCATGATAGCTCTTTTTAAAAAATGAGATACAAAAATGTGTTTCTTCTGAAAAGAATCTTAAAACCCAATATGAGGAAAGATGAAAAAATGAAAACTAGTTCTAAGAGCTTTATAATGTGTTTTACTGGCCTGGGATAACCGTTGGTTATCTGATTGCTCCCCAATTAAAAAGGAAAAAAAAGCTGAAATCGAATAAAATTGCAGATAAAATTGATTGCATGCTGTTGCATAAGATCTTATAAAATTTATAGTAAGGGTAGAGGAAATTTGGGCTGTGTTAATTTTTTACTATCTCGATTTTTAAATTTGCACTTTTTCAGCCCTTGCAGCATAATGAAAAATTGTACATATTATCTGCTACCTGCAAAGGTTGCTAATCTCTGAACTTGTTTAGACAGATCAATAAAATAAAGTTTAGAACTGGGTTTTTTCATTGTTAAACCTCTCCCCATCTACCTGGTTTCCGGAATTAGATTTTCCTGATACTAACTTGTTAGCTTGAAATCAGAAAAAAAAATCATGATTAATATTTCTGATATCTTAATCTGGTAATGTGTGCAATATAGTGTTTTTGGAAGCTTTTTGTTAGAACTTTTCCTTTGATGGATATAATGTTAAATATTTTTATTACTGTGTTTTGTTTAATATTTCATTTGTTCCAGAAATTTGGGTGACGTGTTTTGTTTTTTTTAAAAGTTTTATTATTATTTTTTAACAGAGTTCAATAATAATTATTCTACAAAAGCGCATTGTCTGAATACCTTATTTACTAATACAAATTAAATTCCTAATCCCTAAATCTTTTCTCTAACCATTGATAAAATAGGTCCCAAGTTTGAAAATATTCTGTTTCTTCTTTTTCTTTCAACCTTAAACCTTAAACCTCTGTCCATTTCCGTACAGTCTAATATTTTTTTGATTATTTCTTCTTCTGGTGGTATTTCTTCGTTCTTCAATATTGTGCAAATATAATTCTTGCCGCTGTTATCACATGTAGAATCAAATATGTACTTTGCTTATCAAGTTTTTCTGGCATTATACCAAGTTATAATTCAGATTTATAGTCTATGTGTTTCTCTAACATTTTTTCTAACCAAGTGTGGATTATTGTCCAGTATCTCCTTGCTTTAACACATGTCCACCACATATGATAAGTACTGGTTTGTGTTTATATTTCCAACATTTCTCCGACATATTTTTAAACATTTTTGCTAATCTTGTTGGTGGCAAATGCCATCTATAAAACATTTTATATAAGTTTTCTTTGTATGAAGCTGCCATTGTCAATTTATAGTGTCTTTCCCACAAACTTTGCCATTTTTCTAAGTCTATATTATATCCAAAATTCTTTGCCCGTACTATCATTGTCTCTTTTACTTGTTCATCTTCCATTTTGAAATTTAATAAGGAATTATACATTTTTTTGATTAACTTTTCATCAGAAGTTAATAATGTCTGATCAAACATAGTCTGTTCTTTGTAAAATCCATACTGTTTAATATCTTTATCGTATCTGACTTTAATTTGTAAATGTGACCACCATGTTAAATCGATGCTCTGATTTTCCATCTCTTGCCTGGATTTTAAGTTCCCTCCAGAATTTAGAATATCTTTGTATGTCCATATTTTATCGAGACTGACTAGATTTGGATGTACGAATGCTTCCATTGTTGAAAGCCATCCTGGAATTTTCAAATAAATTTTACATTTTATTTTTTCCCAAGTTAATAATAATGCATTTCTAATGTAGTGGCTTTGGAAGTATTTATGTATTTTATTTTTTCCGTACCATAGAAAAGCATGCCAACCAAGTTGCAGGTCATGGCCCTCCAGATACAGCAATCTTTTATTTTTAAGAGTTATCCATTCTTTTATCCATGTTAACATTGATGCTTGATAATATAAAACCCAATCTGGCAAGCCAAAGCCTCCATTTCCCTTGGCTTCTTGTAACATTTTCAATTTAATTCTAGCTTTCTTTCCTTGCCAGATAAATTTTTGAATTAAAGAGTTTAAATCTTCAAAGAATTTTTTCTCCAGTTTTATAGGTATTGTTTGAAATAAAAATAATATTTTTTGGTAATATATTCATTTTCACCGTAGCAATTCTTCCTAACATCGACAGTTGAAGATTCTTCTATTTTTCCAAATCAAGCTTTATTTGGTTTAACAATTTAATGTAATTATCTTCTTTCATTGTTGAACATCTTGCTCTTAAATATATCCCAAATATTTGACCTTTTTGACTATTTGCAATTCTATTTTTTCTGATAATTTCCTCTATCATATTGAAAAAAGTCTTAGGTAAACTTTTTCTTCCTTGTTTCCCTGATTTATTGCTTTTATAGTCTAATGTCCCATCTACTATTGCATTGAAATCCCCAATTAAGCATATATTTTGATATTCCATTTCTACTATTTTTCTGTGAAGGTTTTGATAAAATTCTTCTTGTTTATTATTTGGTGGATATATTGCTATCAAAAGTATCTGTTTTTGATTTAAAAATATTTCTACCATTAATATTCTTCCTTCTTCATCTGCATAAATCATTTTGGAATCTATTGTTTCTTTGACATATATAACTACTCTTTTTTTTGTTGAGCTGATGTATAATAAAGTTTTCCAAGTTTTGGATTTTTCAAAAATTTATGATGTTGTTTTTTATGTGTGTTTCTTGCAAACAAATTATATCAATGTTTAATTTCTGTAGTTTGAAAATTCTTTTCCTTTTTGATGGGGAATTCAGTCCATTTATATTCACTGAAAAAATTCCATTTTCCTTCTCCATTTTGGTTTACTTATATTTAGGTCTTGTTGATCTTGTTATCATCTGCTGTTTTACTATTCCCTCATCTTCTTGATTCATCTTTTCTTTTTCCTCTTCCACCTGTGTAATTGTTTCCTCTATTGTTTGTTCTGTCTATTTCTGGCTTTTTCCATCCTCTTGTTGATATTGTGTTCTTTCTCCCAGAAATGCTCTATATCTTTCATCAAAATCCTGTGCCTTCCACACTGAGTCCAAACGATATCTTGTGTTATTTCAATTGATTAAAATCCCTTCTGGCATCAGCCATCTAAAATTTACTCCTTTTGCAATCAGCTTTGTAGTCAAGAAATGATTTTGTCTTCGAGTATCCCTTATTCTCTTGGGAATCTGTTTCAGCACTACTATTTCTTTATCTTTATATTGTAATAGATCATCTCTAACTCTTCTTAATATCTCATCCCTCATTGTTTTCTTCATAAATCTTACATGGACGTCTCTGGGCAATTTGTGTTTCCTTGCATAACTTGAATTCATTCTAAATATTTCATCCACTTCTTGCTGCATCTCTGGTATTTCCATTTCTAGGGCCTCTGCTAATAGATTAATAATCACTTCTGCTATATTTTCCTCTTTATCTGGAATCTCAAATAGTGTACTGCCTTCTCCATTTCCAAAGCAGCAACTGCTCCTTCTAGGTTTTGGTTTGCTTGTTCTAATCTTTTATTCTCTGTCATTAGTGCTTCAATTTTTCCCTAGTATCTTCTGATTGATCTTCCACCTTCTGAATTCTTTGTTCATTTTTAAGGATCATTTGTTGGTCAATCTCAAATTGTGTCTTTATGTCTAGCATTTGTTCGTTTAGCTTATCAAGGTTGCTTTTTGTTTCTTGATGATTCTTCTGCATCATTTCTTGCATTAATTGTAAGGTCTCATGCATCTCTTTTTGGAGGTTGTTTGCCTTCTCTCGTTGTAACATTGCTTCAATAGATCCCTGACTTGCTGGACTGGATGTTCCAGAAGAGGGTGCAGAAGCAGGTTTTTTTTGTAATTTAGTGAGATTTTGTGCACTCATTGTTCAATCAGGCAAATTTTGTAAATCCACAGGGAAAAGAGGAAAAAAAATGCCAATTGCTGTAGGCTATAATCGAATTTTAAAAAGACCCAGCTGTTTTAGGCTGAAATCCAACTTTAAAAAGAAGCCAACTATTTTAGGCTATAATCCAAGTTTAAAAGGGAGCCAACTGCTTTAGGCTATAATCCAAATTTAAAAAGCAGCCAACTGCTTTAGGCTATAATCCAGGTTTAGAAAGAGCCTAATCCAAATATTTCTGTCAGTTCAAAAATATTAAAGAAAAAAAGAAAATAAAAGAAAAAACCTGTCTCTAAATAGTTTCTATAATAGTTATGTCTAAAGTTGAAAGATGTAGTTAAAAAAAAATCTTTTTTTTGTAGAAACACAGGATGTTCTTTGTTTAGCACAGGTGTTGTTTCAAGGTCATCACTCTTCTGATTTTTTCTGTATTGTAGTATCTTCCCTCACCACTAGATGTCCTCATTAGTCATAGTGTCTCTATCCAGTAGTAAAACTTTTATTTAAAATGCTCTTTCACAACAAAATAAAAAAATCTTCCCAAATCCCAAAAATTAGCCAACAGATTATCATTTTTTTTCTTTTCAATCAGTCTCTAATGTTTTCGGCATATTTTTTATATTCCTCAATTTCGTTCCCCCATTCCAGATTTTTCACCGCTTTTAACTCTCTTCTTCCCAAGTCTTCCTGGGTTTTTTTACTTTTAAAAGTTATCCAACTCAGGGAATTATATTTTAAAAATCTATAGGGAAGAGAAATAAAGAAGAATCTGACCCAGATCAAACACATTGTTGACAGTCAGCTGTTCAGCAGCGCTGTTGCGGCTCTTTGCTTCTTCCCCAGCTGTCTGTGGCTTGGGCTGTCTGCGTACTTGCTGGCAGCCTTTCTCCCGCCTGTTTGAAGAGTTTCCTCGGTCCGTTTGGGCCAACCGCCGTTGGCTCCAAACTCCCAAGGTTTCCCTTCCACCTTGTTGCCTCTCCAGGGCGACTTTCTGACCTCTTTGGGTCTCCAGACGAAGTGAAATGGGACTAGGAAACCGGAGCTCCGGTTTCTTTCATCTGTGTCACCATGATGCCCCGGGTGGACTCCGACATTGTGTGTTTTAAGATGCCGTGGGAAACCAGGTTTTGAAGGATGGCATATAGCTGTAGCAATAACACTTAGACTTATATATCACTCTATGGTGCTTCACAGCACTCTCTGAGTGATTTACAATGTCAGCAAATTGCCCCCAACAATCTGGGTCTTTATTTTACCGACCTTGGAAGGATGGAAGGCTGAGTCAGCCTTGAGCCCGTCAAGATCAAAATCCAGACTGGGCAGAGTTAGCATGCAATACTGCATTCTAACTACTGAGCAACATTTTAAAGACACGTAATTAAAGTATCCTTAGCTGTCTGCTGTTGCTAGAAACTATAGGTTTTGGTGTGACTATAAGAAATTTAATCGACTTTCAGAATTGTTTAGGGGATTTAATTTTTCTTAATTAGTATGGGCAACTAATAAATACAGTATATTGGGAGAATTCAGCCCCAGCTCTTTTTTTAAAAGAGGCCCTAGGAAGCATTTCCATTTTATGCCATTGAAATCTAGTAATGTTCTTACTTTATTTTTAAATATTTTGATCACAAAAGAAACAACAAAAAGTTTGAGAATGTTAGTCCTTTCCCTTTCAACTTTTCATTATTAACCTCTGGCCACAAAAGCATTATTTGTAATAACATGGGTTGAATCATCTTTAGCAATACAATTGGGTAGTAATTTCGCTCCTCCCTGCATCTTCTAACTCTACCAAACGATAGTCTCAAGGTGTGTAAAATTTGTTACACTGCACGTAGCTTACTCTGTAATATGTTTTAAAACATACCATCACAGAGAAAAGTTGTATGCGTGAAAGAACTTCTTTTTCTCACACAAAACATCCATTACATATTGAGTGAGATTCCAAAGTAGTTGTAATACTTTGCATAATTATCTATGCAGCAGCTTTAATGTACCCAGTGTATTACAGAATTTGTAAATGGCAGAAGGAAAGGCAGGAATGTATCCTGAAGTCTGACACTTTTTTTGGTGTTATCCAGCAATCCAGCTAGATATTAATAATAAATTACAATTTGTGTGGTCGGTGGGGAACAGGGAACAGTTCATTTCAACTGAATAGAAAGGAGGAAATGGGTTATAATTGATAGTTCTTGTCAGAAAGAAAGTAGTGAGTGTCTGATGCAATTTTTGTGGTTTTTCTAATGTCCTTCTCAAACTCACTCTCCCTGTCTCTGAATTATGAATGCAATATATAATGTTTCATGTCTCATGCAAACCTGGTTGACATTACAGTGAGTATTTGAACACTTAAGCTTACTGTTTGTAGAAAGACAAGCTTTATTCCTATTT